AAAAAAAAAAAAAAAAAAAATGGACAAGGAGACGAATGAGTGTGGAGATAAAAATAAAAAAAAAAGATAAAAACCTTTCCTTCTATTTCTCTCCTACACTGCCGATTTATTCCAAACCATTTAATATAATCGTTATCAATATTACGGGAAAAACAATATATATATATATATATATATATATATATATATATATATTTCAGATCCACTCGATAACATGTGTGTGTATTTGTGTCACTCCACTCTTAACACTCAAAGCAAAACGGAATCGCACATATTTATCCTCACCAGAAGCAAGGAATAAAAGAAGGAAGAATAAAAGAAAGAAAGAAAAAAAAAGAAGCAATATTAAAGTAGAAATGAATATTTAAAGCAATTGTATTTCACTTGTTTGTCATTCTGTATTTGGCTTCCCACCGGAGTAATTGAGCGGTCTTAAATTTTACCTTGAGCGCTTTTCGAATGATCATATCAGGATCTTTATCATGATATATATCCCTTAAAGCTAAGAGGAGTTCATTCTCATCTCTTGCACTCTCTAATATCTTCTTATTCATTAATAAAAGAGCAATAATCACTCGGTGAATGATTTTCCATCCTTCACACAAGAACATATCCCATATACGAGAGAGCAAACCAAAATTTAAGTCGTATGAAAACAATGTTAAATAAGAATTGGTTGCATATACAGTTGGATCAATTCCATATACTTCAATACGTTTAAGAATAGAAGGACATTTTCGTTTCATGAGTTTTTTCAATTGATAAAAACGTAAATATAAGAAAGGGAAACCACGAGCGTAAATTCCAGCCATTCCGTACTTTGGTTCCTGCATTAAAGAAACAAAAGCCCAAAAAGTACTTTCCTCATCTTCAATCTGAAGAAGAAGAGTAGCGGCTAAAAAACCCATTCCTTGTACATATCCTACGGTTGGATCTAAATTAGCGTATGCACGCAAAATACCCCGAAGTTTAGTTCGACCAATTCCATTCTCTTCCTCAAACCATTGATGGGTTGGAAAGGTTCTTCCCAAATCACGTTCTATTACCTCAAATACCTCATCATCGGCTATTGACTGAGACTTTAATAAATTATAATTTCCACACTTTTCAAGTGACCAACCGTAACTATTAAGCAGTAAAGGCCACACCGTACGTCTAAATGACTGAGGAATGCCTTCGCGACAAAACGATTTTTTTGTTTCATATGATGTGTAATTCCATCCCCTTATTAACTTTGACCATGCCTTTTGTTTCTCTGGACTCTCTGGATGTCGTTGAGTGTAGGCATCCTCCGCTATCTTTTCCTTCGCGGTGATGTAAAAACCGAAGCGGTCAGTCGTACGGCCGTGCGGTGCATTTAGATTGCGGCCGGATGTGGATGTGTACATGTGATCTGAGACCGGCGGCACAATCTTCTCAGCGTGCAATTCACCCATTATGAACGCTTCGTTTATCTATCTACCCAACTATCACTATCTCTCTCACTCTCTCTCTCTCTCTCTATATATATATATGTATAGATAGATATGTGTGTATGTATGAATATCTCTCTCTCTCTCTCTCTCTCTCTATATATATATATGTATAGATAGATATGTGTCAAAGGGGGAGAGAGTAAGAGGGGGATTACTGTAGAAGAAAGAAATAGAGAAGAGAAATAGAAACGCATAATAGTAATTGAGTGAATGAATGTCTGAGAGAGAAAGAGAGAGAGAGAATATTAATGAGAGTAATAAATCAAAATAAAAAAAAAAAATAAAAATAATAATAAGAGAATACACTACGGAAAAAACAAATTAAAACAAAATAGCACGAAAAAATAAAGACTCAGGAAAAAAAGAAAAAAAAAATAGAAAAGAAAAAAAAAGAAAATATCCAGAACCAAGCAATAATGGAAAATATACGTACTTTATTTTTCGTTGTCGTTTATAAATAAATATGATTAGAAATTCTTAACGCTGTACCAGACGAGTCTCAACTTCCTCCACTGTCTGGTGATCTAATTCCCATTCCCCAATCTCTTTTACTCGCCATGACTCATCTGCATTAGAGCGGTGAATGCGAAATTGTTTACTCAGCGTAACTTCAGATCCACTTAGAGATCCTTGACGATCCTCTCTTGTCGATTTATTGCCAAACCGAAATATGGATAAAACAAAAGAATCCTTCTTAGTCGTCTTCATAGGTACACCAGCCGCATGTGCACGAACAAGAAACATATTAAAGTCTGCCATGGCAATAACAGAAACGCCCAATGGTCGAACAGGAGTTACCATTAAGTTACTAACACTCTCTGATAATCTAAAGAAGAGTTTCTCATACACTTCTTGGAAACCAGATTCCAGTTCAAATATTTGCTGAATACATGGTGTAGGTAATAAAACAGCAAGTTTCTCTGTAAATTGTCTTAACAAAGGTATTCGTGAACAATTAAAGATATTCCATAACATTTCACCATCACAAAAAACTAATATTTCATCAACTAAAATATTAAAAGGCAATTTTCGAATAGGAATACAAACCCTATCGAGAATAATACAACCACAAGCTTTGAGAACTCCTTCTCCTCGTACACTATGACTATATTCATGATATCGTTTCAGTGCCACTTCACGAAGTGTTTTTATAGTATCTATACTTATTTCATTCCAATCTACTATTGTATTTCCTGAAATCATAGAATCACATAATTTAATACAATCTTCAAGATTACCTCGATCAAAGTGCATTTTTGCTAAACCACAAATAGCATGTTCACTATCAGGTTTACGGTTAAGCAATTCTTTATAAAGTGTCTCTGCCATTTCCCAATCCTCTTTACTTCGAACTAGTTTAGCTTTTTCAGCTAAAAGATGATTCACATACACATCAGATGCGTTTAAAACAGTTTCTAATTCTGTTGAGAGTGGTAATTGAAGTAATCTAAGAGGATCTAAACGATATTCAGACTTTAATAACAAACTTCTTGGAGATTCCAATAAAACTTTCACCACATCACTACGACTATAAGCGAAGGCTACGTGTAAAGCATAAACTTCACCGGCCATATAAAATATATCACGGAGGATGGCTGCATGGCTTTTCTCTAATGGGAAAAACAGAGAACGCCATCGTAAACAATTTTCACCATCGAAATCTAACTGCATCGCAGCAAATTCTCCTACACCAAAAGCAGATGTTAAAAACAACAAATCACGCCGCATATCTTCTGGAAGTCTACAATAACTTTGAAATGCCAATGCATGTCGCCTCTTTCGAAGGATTTCTATCCATTTTTTATGACAACAACTACAGAGAGAATCAAATTTCTGACAAAAATCACATCGGAGTGCTAATGGGACATTCAATTGTTGTGGTAAACTATCGGGTAAAGGACGTTTTTTTGTTCCATTCACTTCTTTTTGTGAAATAGATTGTGTCATTCGATTTAATGTAGTTTCAAGGGTATTAGATTTTATCTGAACAGGTTCTATTGTAAAATAAGTACGTTGTGGAAAAAAGAATTCATCTCTACTAGAAACTCGTCCAGGTATTTTCCCTTCTGAAGATATACCTCCACCTACTGCAAACGGTGAAATATAAGATCCATTAATAATTTCTTCCAGCAATTTAAGATTTCGTTGTCGTTCTTCTTCTGCCTTCACATCCTCTAATCCCAATAAGTGTTCCTCCTCATTGATGGGAGTTTGTGTGAGACTATCACTGCCCAGCGCAGAAGGTTCGAGTGTGTATGTGACTTCCTCTATCTTACTATCCGAGATAAAATCAAAGGGTTCCTCATAGCTGCTGGAATCCACAATCTCCTGGATTGGATCAGAGAATATGGACGTGGAATCATTCGTTGCGTTCATCATCAGAAGCAAAAAAAAAAAAGAAAAACTGCAAAGGGGGAAAAAAAAAAAGAATTAATTGAAATAGAGAAGTAGAAATATAACAAAGGAATGAAATGTAAGCCATTATTGTGCTACCAAAAAGAGAAGATGGAAGCAAAAAAAAAAAGAAGAAAAACGCAGAATAACGCAGAAAAGAAAAACGTTTTTTTTTTTTTTTTTTTTTTAAGGAAAAAAAAAAGAATGAAGTGTGATAATCGAAGAAAGGCAACAGCATAAAGTGACCTACTGCCTAGAGTGAGTTTATTCGTTTATTTTCTTTTTTTTTTGTTTCAGCTTTTACGTTGATGCTTACGTTTACGTATTGTATACATATACCACACCAACGTTTTTTTTTTTGTTTTTTTTATTATTATCATTCCGACAAACTTCCTATAATCCTGCATATCTCAATACCTGAAATATTGACAAACATCCAACACAATCTCTCAACCTTCTCACGCCTCCTTCTTACCACTCGCTTACGCTTACACGTACATTCTTCTTTAGTGCCAATTCTTCATATACACCGTCTCTAACACGACCACGGAGAACACTCAATTTCTGTTTCATAACATCCAACTGGGTTAAAATAATATTCTTCGTCAGAGCGTAGGAGAAATGTCCTTCAGTTACTAGCCAAGGAGCGGCGTGGCGCACCATATTGAATTCAGGATTAAGATTCATAATAAATGACTCCAATACAAGGACTGAAAAGAGAAGTGAAACATATGGTGGTTCCATCTGAACATGATTTTCACGAATACATTCAAATAAAGATTGTAAAATATTGGTTACAGCAAAATCAGAAGCCTTTTTAGGTCTCCAATGTTCAAATAGCCATTCTACTTCTTGTATAAATTTCTCCTTATTTACAAACTTTTGCTTATTACCCATACTAAGAAGAGATTGTGCACATAAATCATACTTCCACCTTACAAAAGATTCCATCAGATCATGTGTAATACTAACCTCTTCTGGTGTAATCCGTTGACATAAACCAACGTCTATAAGAGAAACACGTGGATCATGTGGATCAGAGACATCAATGAGAATATTACCAGGATGCATATCACCATGAACAAAATGATCATGAAGAAGCATCTTACACCATGTATTTAATCCTTTATGTGCGAGAATATCTCGTACATGCTCTTCTTGTGCACTGAGGAACTCTGGACAAGCCGGTTCTCCTTTACAAAAGGTTTCCACAAGTACTCGTTGCGTAGAAAATAGAGGTTTTGGAAAATCTACAAATGGTTCATGTTTAAAATTCTCACGGAAAATAGAGAGATGTTTCGCCTCTAAACGGAAATCCAATTGGGCAGCGAGATGACCCACCCATGCATGCGCCAACGTCGGTAGTTCATACATCTCCAGTGATGGAAAACAAGCATCGGCCAGTCGTGCGGCCGTTAAAACAATCGTAAAATCCTTCACAATGGTTTCTACAATATCAGGATGCATTATCTTCACAACAACAGTTTCACCACTATGACGCATGGTGGCAAGATGTACTTGTCCAATAGAACCAGAACCAACGGGTGTTTCTTTCACACTTGAAAATACTTCCAATGGGTCTTGTTGCAGTTCTTCCCGCAGTACTTGCATAGATACAGCGTATGGGTGTATATCCACTTCATTATATAGTCGTTTAAATACGGAACGGAACTCTGGAGAGAAGATATCGTGTCGTGTGCAACTCCACTGACCAGCCTTCACAAAGGCAGGACCAGCACGTTGAACAGCACGTAAAAGAAGTTCTAGCCAACGAAAATACCAATCTCGGCGTAATCGCATAAATATATAAAGTACGGCAAGTGGGAAAAAAATTATAAAAAGTTCTACCAGGCGACCCGCAATTGAAAGAGTACCAGGTTTTGTTACTACTTTATCTTCCAGTACTAAAGATCCATTAGCATCTATTTTTGGTGCAAAAATAGTCAAAGGAACCCGTTCGACTCGTCGAAAGTGATTATAAACACTATATCCTCCAAATGAAACAATAGGCACACCAACAAAAGCCACAATAAACCGGCGTCTCCACATAACACGGAATATCATTGTCTATGTGAAGATTATTGACAAGACTAAGCTAATTCTAGCTTAGTCCCGTTATTTTTTTGTTCTCCTTTTTATATTTGAATTTTTTTTTTCGTTTACGTTTTTAACTTTCTTTTCGTTTTCTTTTTTCCCTTCTTCTTTCTTCTTCCCCTTAGCTAGCAATGGGGATAAGGGAGGGGGTGGAGGGTGTCGGTAGTGAAAGGAACGATATCCCTCGTATAGGTTCACCTAATGTTTCCATAGATGTATGTATGTTTAACATATGGAAAAAAAAAAAATGAAAAACAATAAGAAGAAAAAAAAAGAATGAATAATAATAACAACAAAAACAACAGGAAGAAGAAACTTTATTTCTATTTTATTCATGTATATATATATATATTTTTTTTTTTTGTTGTTGATCTACTTTATTTTTTTTTTTTTTATTTCACCGTAGATAAACTGCAACACGTCATGTGATTCGAATCAACAGAGATAGTGATGAAACCCATGAACGAGTTCAATAATCACAGTGCCTATTCCTGTTCCACTCACTGTATTTCCTTTCTTCGTCAGTTTAGTTGGGGAGGTCCACAAATACCCATAACAAGCATAGAGAGACTTTCATACAGAAAGAGTAAAAGACAGACACATACACACAAGAGTAAAAAAAAAAAAAGAGAAAGAAA